CACAGGCAGCTGGCCCTGCTGTGCGTGCTTCTGAGCACGCTTTGGAAGATCGGGAGGGGACAGATTCACTACTCCGTCCCAGAAGAGAGCGACAAAGGGTCCTTTGTGGGGAACATCTCCAAGGACCTGGGATTGGAGTCACAAGAGCTAGCGACACACGGGGTCCGCATCGTCTCCAAAGGTAGGACTCAGCTTTTTACTCTGAACGCGCCAAGCGGCAGCTTGGTCACCGCGGGAAGGATAGACAGGGAGGAGCTCTGCGCTCAGAGCTTGAGATGCCTTTTAAATATTAACATCATTGTTGAGGGCAGAGGAAAACTCTTTGGAATAGTTATAGAAATCATAGACATAAATGATAATAACCCGAAATTCCAGGTCGAAAAGTTGGAAGTAAAAATTAACGAAATTGCTGCCCCTGGAACAAGATACCCGCTCCCAGAGGCTGTTGACCCAGATGTGGGCATGAATTCCCTCCAGAGCTACCAGCTCAGCCCCAACCACCACTTCTCCCTGGATGTGCAAGCTGGAGACGGCGGAACTGTAAACCCAGAGCTGGTGCTGGAGCGCACCCTGGACCGAGAGGAAGAGGCTGCTCACCACCTGGTCCTCACCGCCTTTGATGGCGGAGACCCCCGTCGCTCTAGCACAGTGCACATCCAAGTGACAGTGCTGGATACGAATGACAATGCCCCGGTTTTTGCTCAACCGATTTATCGAGTCAAAGTCCCAGAGAACGTGCCCCCGGGCACCAGACTGCTTACTGTAAAAGCTAGCGACCCGGATGAGGGAGCCAATGGAGAAGTGGCATATAAATTCTGGAAGATTAGTGAAAAACAATCTCCGTTGTTCCAGCTTAATGGAAATACTGGGGAAATATCAACCACAGAGAGTCTAGATTATGAGGAATGTGCGTTTTATGAAATGGAAATACAAGCTGAAGATGTGGGGGCACTTATAGGGAGGACCAAAGTGCTCATTTCAGTGGAAGATGTAAATGACAACAAACCTGAAGTGACCGTTACATCTCTGTTTAGCCCTGTCTTGGAAAATACTCTTCCTGGTTCAGTAATTGCCTTCTTAAATGTGCATGACCAAGATTCTGGGAAAAATGGCCAAGTCGTCTGTTCTATAAGCAATAATATGCCTTTTCAATTAGAAAAGTCAATAGATAATTATTATAAGTTGCTGACATGGAAATATTTGGACCGAGAAAAGATCTCTACATACAACATCACAGTGATGGCCTCAGATCTAGGAACCCCATCTCTGTCTACTGAAACATATCTCACTCTGCATGTGGCAGACACTAATGACAATCCACCCTCTTTCACTCATGCCTCCTATTCAGCCTATATCCCAGAGAACAACCTCAGAGGGGCTTCCATCTTCTCAGTGACTGCCCAGGACCCCGACAGTGGCAACAACGCCAAGATCACTTACTCTCTGACCGAGGACACCATCGTGGGGGCATCTCTCTCCTCCTATGTCTCCATCAACTCTGACACTGGAGTCTTGTACGCACTGTGCTCCTTTGACTATGAGCAGATCCAAGTCTTGAAGCTGTTGGTGACAGCCAGTGACGGTGGGGACCCTCCACTCAGCAGCAATGCCTCACTGAGCCTGTTTATTCTGGACCAGAACGACAACACACCTGAGATCCTGTACCCTGCACCCCCCAAAGATGGTTCCACAGGCGTGGAGCTGGCACCCCGCTCCGCAGAGCCTGGCTACCTGGTGACCAAGGTGGTGGCGGTAGACAGGGACTCGGGCCAGAACACCTGGCTGTCCTACCGCCTGCTCAAGGCCAGCGAGCCAGGGCTCTTCTCAGTGGGGCTGCACACGGGCGAGGTGCGCACTGCGCGCGCCCTGCTGGACAGAGATGCGCTCAAGCAGAGCCTGGTGGTGGTGGTGCAGGACCACGGCCAGCCCCCCCTCTCGGCCACGGTCACGCTCACCGTGGCTGTGGCCGACAGCATCCCAGACGTCCTGGCTGGCATGGACAGTATTGGGACACATACCAGCTCTGACGACTCAGATCTCACTTTGTACCTGGTGGTGGCGGTGGCCGTGGTTTCCTGTGTCTTCCTGGCCTTTGTCATCATACTGCTGGCATTCAGGCTGTGGCGGTGTCACAAGTCAAGTCTGCTCCAGACATCGGGTGGTGGGTTGGCAGGGCTACCGGACTCAAGCTTCCTTGGTGTCGAAGGAGTACAGGCTTTCCTGCAGACCTATTCGCACGAGGTCTCCCTTACCGCAGATTCGAGGAAGAGTCACTTGATCTTCCCACAGCCCAACTACGCAGACACGCTCATCAGCCAGGAAAGCTGTGAGAAAAATGCTTCCCTGTTAACATCCATAGATTTCCATGAATGTAAAGATGAAGGTGCTTCTGTTGAGGTAAGTTTGGCTCTTTATTTCTGAAAGGGATTCAATTTGTCTTATAAAGTTTTATGTATGTGATTTGAAGCTTATTATGAAAAAAAAAAGCTTGAAATATTTTGAAATTCATACCACAAACTTTTGTATAAAAAGCTTAAAATATTTTGAAAGTTGTATCACAAATTTTAGTGGTGACACTCAAATTTGAACTCTAACCACCATATAGTTTGTTTTTCAATACTTGGACAAGCCTGGTTAAATTTGATTCAACCTTTTCATCCTTTGGTGTTTACTATAATCTTCACTTAACACCCATTCACCTAAGGAGTTACCCAAACACACATGGTAAGTTTCCTTTTATATAGAAATAGACAGGTAGATATTTAGAACTGAGAAAAGTTGAGACTTCTGAATCTCTATTAGCCTAATAGAAGTAAAATACAAAGCCTACCTAGTGGTGCACTGTCTAAAAGCTCAGTGTTATGAAGTTATTGTCAGCCACTATGGCATGAGTTGGATCCTTGGCCAAGGAGCTGACCCACATGGCACAGCAGACCTCTCCTGTCTTGCCCACTGCTCCCCTCAGCAGTGTATTTCAGTAGATCCATCTGTTTCGCTCCCCACTCTGAATCCTCTCACCATCACCCCACACCTTTGGCCTACATCCCAGTTTGTGGATGCATAAATAAACTTAAAAAGAAATTTTTTTTTAAAAGAAATAATACATCTTAGAATTTTTAGTACTGTTTAGGGGATGTAGCTAAAAGTTGACTTTTGGAGACTTCTTCACTTTAAAACTCTTCTCTGAGCATTGTGCCTGCATTAGTACACTTCAAAAAAATTTATGATTCTTACTCTACTTAAGGAAACTAAATGCATTTTAAAGGGTGGAGCCTGGTGGGACTGAATGTTGAGTTTGTGTGTGAATGGTTACTCAGGGCTCATTCCAGTGAAGACATGGAGTCTAAAGGTTAAAATGGCTGTTGCCCCCTTGAGAAAATCAAAAGCAACAATATGAGATTTGAGATGCCATTTGAAACTGTTGAATTGGTTTTTGTAAAATATAGAACATGTTTCAGTAGAGTTCCAATAATCTGCTTTGCAAGCTGAGATGATAGAAGAGATTGAGGTTATTGATTTTAAGAACAGACATCTCATGAACACAAATTCTAAACTGATCCTTTAGAAATGATTCTGTCTGGACTATATGTCTTGCATAGTCCTTGTTAAAGCATCATATTAAAGCTAATCACTGATTTGTCATCAGAAAAGAATGGGAAACATAATAAATCATTTGTTAATAATAAAGGACATTTCCCAAGAATTGCGTAATGTTCCCTTGTATTTACATATACAATGGGCACAAGTTACTTCATATTTTCTTTAGTGTTTGGACGTTCATTCATAAAGCTCCCTATACTACTGACACTATGCAATTTTTAAGGGCCCTGACAAAAAGAAAATTCTTACTCTTGTTCAAAATGTTCACTAATTGTCAAAAACAATTTTAATGAATGAAGTCATAGAATTAAAATAATGGTCTGACTAAAACTATTCAGTAAACTTATGGAAATGAACTTATCATTGCTTACTCTCCTGTTGCAAAGTCTTTACTCATAATAACAAGTACATAAGTAGGGAAGTCATGTAATTTACTGGGATGACCCCTTTACTACTTTGTGTTGAAGAACAGACAACTTTCTATGAACTTTTAAAGTTAACTTCTGTAGTGTATTGGGTATGATATAGGCCAGTAATTTTGACATATGAAGAAGTGGGCAGAGTAAGTAATTTCTCAACTACAGTTTTCTTAATGAATAATTTGGAGTTGCCAGAGTGTGAAAGGAAATCAATGTTGTTGACATAATTGGGAAAATAAATGTTTGAGGATTGATACACAGCTGCACAACCAAAAAAAATTTTAACCGTGCTAATGTCGCTAATATATGTGAAATGAAACAACATTAATTATATGGAAATGTTGGGGAAACAGAGGAACCAATGAGAGAAGTTTAAAATTGTTTCACTTTCATAAAAAAAACAAAAGGAACTTGTGAGGTCAGTAGATGATAAGCCGAAAATAACCTTTCTGTGGGTTTTTTTTCCATTGTTACATTGCCACTGACAAAGACAGTACAAGGCAAAGTTCACTGTTTGTGAAACAGTGAAATGAATGCAACAGTTTATTGTAGGTTGGTATGAGAAAACCCACATGACATTAATAAAAGTTCTAAACAAGAAAATAAAACCTTGAGTAAGGAAGGTTTTTTAGTTAAAGATTAAATATATTAATATAAAAACATGGCTTGTTCTGCTAGGCGCAGGATTATGAGTATTACAGCTCCTTAAACCCAAGTAGCATGGGCTGCAGTTTCCGAGCGCGGGCTCTGGGCGCCGCTGTTGGCCAAAGCGAACAGCCTGGCGCTGGCGATCCCCGCGCACAGCCACAGAGCTTTCTCCTTTGCAGACTCGCCAGCCCGAGTCTTTCCACCGCTTCCTCCTTCGGAAAAGAAGAAAGCCTGACCCCCCACCCCCGTAGGAGGGAGAAAAAGCCTGCTCGGGGCTCCGGACACCTGCAACAGGGATTGCTTTAAGCTGGCGTCTCCAGGCAGGTGAGCAAGATGAGGGCAGCGAGAGGGCTGGGGACAGGCGCTGGGGAGAAGAGCTGGGCTGAGAGGCGGGCAGTGCTCCTGCCCTTCCTGCTGTCTTTGTTCTGTCGGGCGCTGACTGAGCCGATCGGCTACACGATTCCCGAGGAAATGCCCCAGGGCTCGGTGGTGGGGAACCTCGCCAAGGACCTGGGACTCAGTGTCCACGAGTTACCTGCTCGAAAACTGCGCGTCAGTTCAGAGAAGCCTTACTTCACTGTGAGCGCAGACAGCGGGGAGTTACTTGTGAGCAGCCGGCTGGACCGCGAGCAGATTTGCGGGAAGGAGCCAGCGTGTGCTCTGGAGTTTGAGGCTGTTGCAGAAAATCCGTTAAATTTTTACCACGTGAACGTGGAGATCGAGGATATCAATGACCACACGCCAAAATTCACACAAAATTCCTTTGAGCTCCAAATAAGTGAATCTACACTTCCAGGCACTCGATTTATATTAGAAGTAGCAGAAGATGCAGATATTGGCTTAAACTCTCTGCAGAATTATGAACTTTCGCTAAGTCCTAGTTTTTCGTTGATCAATAAGAAGAAACAAGATGGCAGTAAGTACCCGGAACTGGTATTGGAAAAACCCTTAGACCGGGAACAACAGAGTTACTATCATTTAGTCCTGACTGCCTTGGATGGTGGTGCTCCATCCCTAAGCGGCTCCACTGAGCTGCGGATCCAGATCACTGATGCCAATGATAACCCCCCTGTATTCAACCAGGAAGTATACAGGGTCAGTCTTCCAGAAAACGTGCCCCTGGGTACCACCGTCCTGCAAGTGTCAGCCACCGACCAGGATGAGGGCATCAACTCAGAAATCACGTACTCCTTCCACAGATCTGGGCAGGCCTTTGGTCTGAATTCAAAAAGTGGGGTAATTACAACTCTAAGGACAATGGATTTCGAAGAAATCAAGGAATATTCTCTCGTCGTGGAAGGCAGGGATGGAGGAGGACTGGCTGCACAATGTACAGTTGAAATTAACATTCAAGATGAAAATGACAACAGCCCAGAAATTACCTTCCATTCTCTACTTGAAATGATTCTAGAAAATGCAGTACCAGGAACAATAATTGCTTTGATCAAAATACACGACAAAGATGCTGGAGAAAATGGGGAGGTTAACTGTCGATTACAGGGTGATGTCCCTTTTCAGATAATCTCTTCATCCAAAAATTCATATAAATTGGTGGTAGATGGGACGCTGGACCGAGAGCAGACTCCAGAGTACAATGTCACCATCATAGCCACAGACAGGGGTAAGCCACCCCTCTCCTCCAGCAAAAGTGTCACCTTGCACATCTCTGACGTCAATGACAATTCTCCAGTTTTCCACCAGGCCTTTTATTTGGTCCATGTGATGGAGAACAACTCTCCAGGCACATCTATCGCCCAAGTCAGCGCCTCCGATCCGGATCTGGGACCCAACGGCCACGTCTCCTACTCCATCGTGGGCAGCGACCTGGGGCC